TGGGAATATATGTAACCCCTGAATGCAAGTAAAAAAAGAAAATTATGTGTACTACATCAGAGTTCTAAGGGGAAAAGTGAGAAAAATGCAAATGGAAAGATGTGTTCATTTTTTCTTAAGTATTAAGAAAGAAATTAAATGATCAGTTATTTTCAGTATTGGCTATATAACAAGCTTCAAAAAGCTCACAGAAAAATTGAATGAAAAGATAATGGAAGTTTTCCACAAACTTTTTGAAATTCCCTCATATATAAGTTCATACAAATTATGAGCAAATCATTTTATCCTAAAATGTATGCTTTAAAAATTCACAAGGAAATATAGGATAGTATTCAAAAAAAGAAATATAGAATAGTATTCATGAGTATATACCTTAATCCAAAGGAATATAAAAACTTAGAAAATAACCTTAACTTCCCTCACCCCAATTCCAATCGGTCATTAAAACATGTAAGTCTGCCTTCTCATTATTTCTACTATATTTACCATGGTTTAGTACAAACTGTCACCGCTTATTGTTAGTTTGTCATACTGTGGTGGCTTGTGTGTGCTGTGATGCTGGAAACTATGTCACTGGTATTTCACATGTCAGTAGGGTCAGTGGAGCTTCCAGACTAAGAAAAGACAATGAAGAAGGACTTGGCTCTATACTTCGGAGGAAGAGGCCGCTGAAAACCATATGCAGAACTTCAAAGCATTCTCAAATACTGAAACCTAAACAAAGGAAGCACAGCATTGTCGGAGATACTGTCAGTAGATGGGCCCCTCGGGTCCAAGGGCACCGGAAATGTGACTGAAGAGGAGACGATTTCTTGGAGGGGAGTTCAGCAAAGCCTGGAGGAGTGGAGCCTTTGGGATCTTCATTTGCTGATAGGGCACCATTCTAGGTAAAGAGAAACAGCTGCAAGAATCTTCTAATGTTTGGAACTTGGAATGTACAAAGTATGAATTTAGGAAAATTGGAAGTGGTCAAGATGAAATGGAATGCATCGAGATTTATATCCTAGGCATTAGTGAGCTGAAATGAACTGGTATTGGCCATTATGAATCAGAAAATCATGATTTACTATGCCAGGAATAATACAATCAAGAGGAATGGTTTGGCATTCATTGTCAAAAAGGACATTGCTAAATCCACCATGAAGTACAATGCTGTCTGTGATTGGATTGTACCCATCTTCCTTCAAGGAAATCCAATCAATACAAGTATTATTCAAATGTATGCACCAACCACAAAAGCTAGTGATGAAGAAATTGGAGAATTCTACCAAAGATTTCAGTCAGAAACTAATTAAACATGCAATCAAGATGCATTGATAATTAGTGGTAATTAGAATGCAAAAGTTGGAAACTACAAGGAAGTAATAGTAGTTGGAAAATATGGACCTGGTGGATTACAACTGTAATCCATATTACAATATGGATTACCACTCAATGTAAGGAAAACCAAAGTCCTCACAACTGGACCAATATGTAACATCATGATAAATGGAGAAAAAGTTGAAGTTATCAAGGATTTTGTCTTACATGTACCCACAATCAATGTTCATGAAAGCAGTAGTCAAGAGACCAAAAGACGTTATGTATTGTATTAGGTAAATCTGCTGCACAGACCTCTTTATAAAGTATTGAACAGCAAGAATGCTACTTTGAGGACTAAGGTGTGCCTGACCCAAGCCATGGTGTTCTCCATTGCATATGCGTGTAAAAGTTGAACAATGGATAAGGAAACTGTAGAAGAATCGATGTATTTGAATTGTGGAGCTAGAGAATATGGAAAGTACCATGGACTGCTAAAAGGACAAGCCAATCTGTATTGGAAGAAGTAAGGCCAGAGTGCTCCTCAGAGGCAAGGATGGCAAGACGTGGTCTTATATACAGTACTGGACATATTGTAAGGAGAGACCTGTCATCATGTTTGGTAAAGTGGAGTGGCGGCGAAAAAGAGGGCAGTCCTCAATGGTCTCAGGCATAGGAACAATTTTGAGGATGGTGCAGGACCGTACATTGTTTTATCTTGCTGCTCATAGGGTCACTGTGGGTCAGAGCTAACATGATGCCACCTAACAACAATGCAAACTGAAGGGGCCTGGTGGCACAATGGTTAAGCTGCAACCAAAAAGTTGACTGTTCAAACCCACCCAGTGGCCCAAGGAAGAAAATATCTGGCAATCCGTTCCCATAAGCATTATAGCATTGTTTTTAGGAGCTGCCCCTCATCTAAAAGCACTGAGGCTATTACTGAATTACAAAAATCTGTAACAGTTGTTCAAATGAATGTCTGTCCATCCTGTAGCATCTATATTTGCAGACTGAAAAGTGGTTCTGCTGACTGCTTTGGTGGGAGATGGTCTCCTTTAACCTCATTGTCCTCATTCCCAATTCCACAGAAAAACATTCCATTTGTTGTTTTCTGTGTGTGTGTGTTTTGTTGGTGTGCTTTTATACTCTTATAATGTATTCAAGTAGTTTGAATTGTTCTGGATGAAAAAAAAGCCCACATTAAGAGATTTTTACACACAGGACAAACTTATGTACTTTGTATACAAAAAAAACTTTTGGATTTTCTATAATGGGTTTTCTAGGAACACTGCCTACCCTTTATAAGAAACTTTGACCGGTAGGGTGGATCACTGTTAAATTTTATGAAGCTATTTATTGCTTTCTGATGCATCCATCACTTACAACAAGTTAAGAGTGAGACTGCTAACGTTTGTGAGCACTGTACAATGAACATCAAGAAAAGGTTGAAGTTGTCGAGAATTTTGTCTTGCTTGGATCCACAATCGATGGTCATGGAGGTAGCAATCAAGACTTATTGCATTAGGAAAATCTGCTGCCCAAGATCTCTTTAAAGTATTGAAGAACAAGGATGTTACTTTGAGGACTAAGGTGCACCTGACCTAAGCCATGGTGTTCTCCATGGCCTCTTGTGCATGTGAAACCTGGACATTGAATAAGGAAGACTGAAGAAGAATCGATGCATTTGGATTGTGGGGATGGAGAAGAATATTGAACGTACCATGGACTGCTAAAAGGACAAACCAATCTGTGTTGAAAGAAGCAAGGCCAGATTTCTCCTTAGGAGCAAGACTTTGTCTTACATACTTTGGAAATATTGTCAGGAGAGACCAGTCCCTGGAGAAGTACATCAAGCTTGCTAAAGTGGAGGGGCAGTGAAGGAGGGGAAGGCCTTCATTGAGAGGAATTGATACAGTGGCCGAATCAGTGGGCTCTGGCATAGGAACAATCGTGAGGATGGCACAGGACTGTCCGTGCAGTGGTTCGTTCTATTGTCCTTATGGATTGGAGCCAACTCAACGGCACCTAACAACAACATGGTACAATGTGTACAAATACTGCAGTATGCCTTGTATATAGAAATTAAGACTATTATGGTATCCATACGTTCCCTATGGCTTATGGACATTTCTCCCAGTTATTAACTAATTTTATAGTAGGACTAGTATGAATATCTAACAACTGTGTGCTATTAAACAATGAAGAACTCAACTGACTCCATTTTCTGTAGGATACTTTCTCTAGGATACAAATATTTAATTAAATGAAGATCACTTAACTCAAAATACTGAAATATATTTTTTGTCCACAATACCACTGAACATATTATCATGATAGGATTAACTGACTGCACATCATGTAGTGCTATGTAGCTTTTTATTGCTGAAGTCATTGCAGTTCTTCCATTTATATACCACTGATTGATTGTTTTAATGCTTTTCCAGCTTTAGCATTCTGTGAGTCTTAGAAATTTCACTCGAGAATGGCAAAATGATGTTAGTATTTAGGAGGTTAATTTTCACTTATAACTAAAAGTCGTACAGGGGTTCATCATTTAAGTAAGAATACTTTGACACGCTACCTTTCTCTTTAAAAAAAATTTAACATTGAAAGTGTCCTCTTGGGGAGAAAAAATTAACTTCAGGGCTTGACTTCGTATAAATTTTAACTGTCAAATACAAATGAATCTTGCATATGTACTCAAGAAAGTGGAAATCAAAGCTACTAGTGCTTTTTATTTTAAATATCCTGCTAAGAACAGGTATCCATGCTGTTTTCAACTAGATCGCTGTCATTTAAATTACCAGTGAAATAATTGATTCTTAGATCTAATTAATTTTACGACCAAAAGGTTTTGGTTCTATAATAAGAGATCAATTCCTTGGTAGTCTGAATTGACTATTTCAATAAACCAAAACATCAGTGGATTCAGCATAAAATTTTCTAGCACTAAATGTCAAACTTGATTGTATATTTTGTTGTTTCTTGAGTAAATTTATATTTCTCATGAGCTGTCAACAAAATATATGTACTTTTGAATTATGAACTTTCTAATTGTTTTACAAGCTACATGATTTTTATTTGAAAGATATACTTTGCTTAAACTACTAAATGTCAGTATTTAACTACAATATTATTACAAAATGTACATTATCACTGAATAGCCTTTGATTTTAAATACTCAAATTAGCTTTAGTTCTGTTATTTTTACAAAAAATATACTTGTATAAAGAGTAAAATAAAATTATAGCCTAAAAAATGCTATTGGCACTTCTACTCTGTCACATGGTGTTAATGAATTTAAAGACAAAGGAAATTGCAACAATTCTAGGATATGATTGAACTATGGAATTATTTGATATATGTATTAATGCCGATTAATAAAAAAAACAAAATAAAGACAGATTCTTTTGAAAAAAGAAAAGAAACTGCAGAGGCCACAGCTGCTGCTGGGGAAAAAGGACTTCACTCAGGCAAAGTAACTACAGCAATCCTTCCCGAGTGCTCACACTTGAATATGCTGCTGACAGGCTAGAGGGAAAGAGAGGAGGGGAACCTGCAAGGACATCTCTTCCTGCTTATGTCTCCCCTGACCAGGCTCCCTCATCTTTTGAAGTCTTCTAAGTGCTTAGAGGATTGCTTAACATAAGGCAACTGTGCAATCAATTTATTTTCAAATGAACCTGAGCGATACGTACCCAGTTTGGTATTTCTCAACCTTTGCAGAGCTAGATATCTTCTTTGAAGGCACACGATTTTGACGTCCTGTAGGAACTGAAAGGGTAAATAGTTTACTTGAACTCTGAAAACTGGTACGATCAAGCAACTGGCAAAGGACAAACTTAGCCCCTACAAGCATCTCTATACAAAAATTGTTTGTGTAACGGATCTAAATTATTTCATTAGTCCTTCAAAATGATTTTACCTTTATAAATCTCATAGTTGTGAGCAGAATAAGCTGAGTGGTTTCTGTCTTATGTACTAAGGTCTGCCCTGAAGTTATGTACGTAGGCACCCAAGACTGGATATTGCAGGCCACTGAGGCATCTAAATATAAGCTAAATATAAGCACCAGTAGCTATAAGAAAGAAAAATGAAAAAAAGGGGGGGAAAGAAAGACAAATGAAGCTATCGGTTTCTGAAAAGATGTGAGGTCTCAGAAATCCAAAACAGCAGTTGTACTCTCTCTTTTAGGGTTGTTATGAATCAATCAACTCAATGGTAGTGGACTGGGTAAGCTGGTTAGCACAGCTCATTTATTTGCTGTGAGGAGAGTGGTTGCTGTACTAGGCAGTAAGTGCCCTCACAATATACCAATATTCAAGCCAGATATTTCTACCATAGCCAGCCTTTTATACACACACACACACACACACACACGCACGCACACACACGCGCGCACACGCGCACGGGGGTACCCAAAAAATAACGGAATTTTTTTTCAAAGCTATGTATTTAATATTTTTTTACATGACAACCTTATCACCTTCAAAATACTCTCCATTAATTACACTTAATACATTTGTTAAATCTGCAATTCCATTCGTGGAAACATTTTTCAAACTCATCTGTTAGGATGGTTGACAGCACCTTCCTCATTTTTTCCTTCGCCTCTTCTACATCATCAAATCGTTGTCCTTTCATGTCCATTTTCATTAGCACAAACAAAAAGAAGTCACATGGAGTTAGGTCAGGTGAGCAAAGTGCGTGGGTAAGAGAGGCACGCTGTTTTTTGCCGAAAACTGGCGCACTGAGATGGCTGAGTAAACAGGCACATTGCTGTGGCAGCAAAACCAGTCCCCCAACTGGCACAAATCAGGCCTTTTTTCTCGCACATTGTTACACAATCTTTTCAGAACCTCTAAATACAAAGCTTGATTACTAGTCTGACCTGGTGGAACAAACTCCAAATACACAAGTCGACATTTTCATCCATTTGGGAAGTTGACAGATGTACAAAATGAGGTTTGTCATCAATAGACATTTCACCCTTTTTGAAATAGGAAATCCACTCGTACCCTTGAGTTTTTCTTACAATGCTGTCCTCGTAAGCAGTGTTCAACATCACAACAGTTTCTGTGGTGATTTTCCCAAGCAGGAAAAAAAATTTCACAGCTGCACACTGTTCTCTGAATTCGGCCATCACAAAAAATGACGTGTGAGAAAAACTGCTTTTAGGAAAAATTCACTCTGACCAGAGAGAACCTTCCCAGGCAGCACCACTGGGTGTACTAACTCACAGTGAGTTGGTTGATTTTCACCTAACAGGAAACATGTGCACTACGAAAGCAACGCCTAGCAGAGCTTTTTTCCAGGTTTTTCTGGGTACCCCCATATATAAATTCATATATATATATATATATATACATGGATAGATAGATAGATGCCATTTACCAATCTAAACACTGGATGAGATTAAAAGAGAACTAAAAGTCCTCCCTGCAAGAGGCTTACTGTCAATTTGGGGAAACAGATTCAGAGGCATTATAACAAAACTAGATAAGTGCTTTGGGAACCCACAAATGAGAAATGATTCTGATCTACGGTTTCATAGAAGAAGTGACAATTCAGCTGGGTCCTAATAAAAATGGGATGGCCTCAGAACAGAAATAAAAATGCAGTAAGAAAGCACTCCAGGTTGATATGGAGAAACCACTATTACGAAGATATGGGAGGACATTAGAAAGTGTGCTGTGCTCACAGAGCAAGAAAAAAAAGATGAGTGGGAAAGTTGACTGGCTTCCAAGATCTTCTTTATATTTTTTGAAGGTCCTGAAACAATTCTGTTAACTCTTCCAACTGGTACGCTCATATCTCCCCTTTTACTGCTCAGTGGGGTATGCAGTAGGCTTTTAACCACCAGGTCATTAGTTCGAAACCAGCAACTGCTCCTCGAGAGAAAAACAAGGTTTTCTACTCCCGTAAAGAGGTACAGTCTTAGAAGCCCAGAGACAGGTCTACCCTGTCCTATAGGGCTGCTATCAGTCAGAATCGACTTGATGGCAATGCATTTGAGTACTCAATTCTAAAATAGAGAAGAAAAATTAATTAATCATGTAAGCCCAAATCAAGAGGTACAATTCATACATTGGTGCTGTGCTTTCATTTGTAAATATAAGCAAAGTATTATTTCTACAGAACCACTTCTGAAGCAAGTCAAATAAAAATTATCACCTCACTTTTAATCCTCCTTAACAAGCCAAAGAACAGCAGTCCTATCAAAATTCATCTAGGTCAACTTCTCAGCATCATTTTCTATACTAATATCGAAACTCCTTTCTACAACACTCAAACTAGAACCTGTATAAGGCCAAAGCTTGTCAGAAGAAAATTTCTAATATTTTCTACTAAAATAAGTGGCAGAAAAATGTTAAGGCTGCACTCTGCCAAAGGCTGAGAATTTGTGCGATTACGAAAAACAAGGCAAGAGAGCCCAAAACCCATTTACAGGGTCCCTCGTGTGTATTAGGTCTCTGATGAATTCCCTCTGACTATGAACCAGAGATGGGAACGGCCTTGTTCTCAGACAAAGTACACCTTCTGATGGAGTACTGCAATTGTTGTCAGGATAAAATATGACACCTTGTTATTGCTCTCTCTCTAGACCCAATGTATAATTGCTCCAGTTTATAAAACTTTCTGCTTTGATTTTGATTGAGGGTTTTCTGTTTCATTCTACCATTGTGGTTAGGCTATGTGTTTGCATTTTCTTAATTTTACATGTTTTTCTCTATATGAACCCCAGATTAGGTAAACCTATAGAGACAACTGGATTCATAAATTCAAAGGGACATGGCAGGGGAAGCTGGCAGGAAATGGGAAGCTAACAACGAGTTCAAGGGAAAAAAATGTCCAGGAACTGATTGTGGTGATGGTTGTACAACTCTTATGATGCTATTGTACTATTGATATGTGATTTGTGAATTGTATGTTGGTGAGACTTTTAAAAATAAATGAACTAATTGAAACAGCAGCAAGACGGTATCATTTAGCTCCACCCAACACAGGTTTCACTGTATATGGAAGTATTAAAGGGCAAAAACAAACCAATCCCAAACCTTCCCTTAGTGTATATGTACTTGGCTAGGTGTTTCAGATTGGATTCCTTCCCATCTCTGGAGTCAGGCCAGTAAATTCACTTCCACTCAGATGTTCATTCTGGTTCCTGGTCTTTACTCAGGTTGTCTGTTCCATCATATAAGCCCCTCTTGCCTTGATTCCACACAACAAAAAGGATATTCTGGACCCATCCCTCACTTAAGCCAGTATATAACTTTGATAACCAGCTCAGTGCTCATCAACCTGGGCATTTTACTGGATGTCAGAACTCAACTGTTATTTCATATAGACTATTTTTGCTTTCTTGGACTACAGGGATGGATGACTTGCATTATGCTGTACTATGTGCAATGAAATGATTCTTAAATTATCTACTGTACCTTAGTCCTATCAACTCTGATCTAGAACACAGAATGAGCTCCTCCACCATTCCCTAAAAGATCCTCTTTGTGGAACGGCTCTCTACTTTGGCCAATAAGAAGGTGTTGAAATGATACAAGATTGGTAGACAGGGCAGGCACACTTAGCCAAGACAGGCAACTTTTGCAGAAAGGGCCTACGAGGCTGGATAGGTATATTTGGCACACACGGATCAGAAAGAAAACAAAACAAAACAAAAACCTCACTGCAACGGAGTCAAATTAACTCATAAACCTATACCACACATGGCTAGCTAGGGTTATTTGGTGAGATAGACGTACTTTGCAAAATTGGCTTACCAGGTGGCACCTCGATATGTTTGGTTTTCGCTGTCCTTTTCCTTGGTTTTTCCACCACAGGTGCTGGCTCTTCTTCAGTTGGCAACTTCTCATCTATACTTTCTGGTTTAGGCTCAGCAGTATTCAGTAGTTGGCAAAAACTTTCACCAAGATTCTGCTCACCAAGATCATCAGATACATTGTGTTGAGAGATGGCACATTCACCCAGCTCTTGATCATTTGAGGACATTTGGTCTGTATCACATAGACTCCCTTCTTCTAACATTGGGTCACTCAAATCACTGCCATCATCATCATCGGGGAAAAATGGAAGCTGTTCAGCCTCATCTGAAATTCAAGAGCCACAATCACATATATACTCTTCTCTACCACCCCCTAAATTACTGAACTTCAGCAGATATTACTGAACACAAACTAAACCAGTAGGGAACTATGATATTATGGCCTTTCAGAACAACAGTTAGAGATTCCTATCCTCTTTTTTTACTGAGAACAGTGACAGATAAAATATTAATCAAAGTTCTAATTGCAATTTTCAAATTACATTTTCTAAGCAACATTGATATCGCTGCTCGCTGGTTCTGCTAATCTGGGTATTTTCGTTGGTTCACAGCAAAAGGAAAAAAACAGAAACTAGACTACAAGTAATGTGTTTTCTATCAAGTTAAACTTCTAAAATTTAAAGGACCACCCGGTATCTTGATATTGTGTTGCTGTTAAACTTTTAGTGCTCCTTAGGTTACGAAAGAAGTGTCACAGTAATTGGAAATTGTATTTCCTTCATTAAAAAATTAAAAATTGGAGAAGCAACAAAGTCCACATGGAAGAAGCACATCAGCCTGTGTGACCACGAGGTGTCAATGGGATCAGGTATCAGGCATCAAAGACTCAGAACAAAAAAAAACTTTCATTGTGAATGAGGGGGAGCGCAGAGTGGAGAACCAAAGTCCATCTGTAGAGAATTGGCTATCCCCTTACAGCAGGGTCACAAGGAAGAGACGAGCCAGCCAGGGTGCACTATAGCACCGATGAAACATACAACTTTTCTCTAGTACTTTGATGCTCCCACCCCAGCCCCCACTATCATGTCCCCAAATCTACCTTACTGGCTAGACCAGAGCATGTACAAGGGTACAGATAAGAGCTGGAAACACAGGGAATCCAGGACAGATAA